ATCTTTACATCCATTTGGTGGAGTTCTAAGTCATAATGAGCCACCAAAGCCATAACAATTCTTAAAGAGTCCTTCTTTGAAACTGGAGAAAATGTCTCTTTATAGTCTATTCCATCTTTTTGAGTGTATCCTTTAGTAACAAGTCTAGCCTTATATCTCTCAACGTTGCCTTTTGAGTCACGTTAAGTCTTAAAGACCCACTTGCAACTGACTCGTTTTGAACCTTCAGGCAACTCGACTAGATTCTATATCTTGTTGTCACTCATTGATTTTAACTCTTCTTTCATGACATTCAACCACTTTTCAGAATTGTAACATTTCATGGCTTGCTTAAATGAGACTGGATCCTCATCAATACTCAAGTCACATTCATGCTCAAGTGAGTAAACCACATAGTCATTCGAAATAGCCGGTCTTTTCTGCCTTACAGACCTCCTTAATGCTATCTCTTGTGGTTCACCTTCCTCTTGCTCACTTGTGACTTGCGCATTTTCAGCTGGTTCATCCTCTATATGTTGTTCTTGTGGGTTTTGAACATTAACTTGTTGTCTCCTTATGTTGTGTGACTGTGATACAATAAGAGGAATTGGGGAAGAGACGTCTCTTTAATTTTCACCTTTCGTGTTTCACCACTCCCACTAAACTGACCATTTTCAATGAATCTTACATTTCCAGACTCAACTATTCTCATACTATAGTTAGGACAATAGAATCTGTACCCTTTTGATTTTTCAGGATAGCCGACGAAATAACTACTTATGGTTCTAGCATCAAGCTTCTTTTCATGTGAATTATACACTCTTACTTCTGCTGGACAACCCTAGACATGAAGATGTCTTAAACTGGGTTTCTTTCCTGTCCACAATTCATAAGGAGTCTTTAGAACTGTCTTACTAGGAACTCTATTAAGCAGATATGCAACGGTCTTTAATGCGTACATCCACAAAGACATAGGCACAGAACTGTAACTCAACATACTCCTAACCATTTCCATGATAGTACGATTCTGCCTTTCAGTCACACCATTTTGTTGTGGTGTACCAGACATAATATATTGTGCACATATGCCTCGACTTTCCAGAAGTTTCGCAAATAGACTTGGACATTGTCCACTTTCATCAGATTTTCTATAATATTCACCACCTCTATCTGACCTCACAACCTTTACCTTAACACCTGTAAGACATCCACTGATTGAGATTTTTCATGTAACACATATAGATAACAATAACGTGAGTAGTCATCAATGAAGGTAATGAAATATCTTTCACCACCCCAAGATGGGATGTCAAACGGACCACAAATATCAGTGTGTATCAACTCTAAGAGTTGACTGCTTCTTGTGGCTGGATTCTTTGATGTGTGTTTAGTTTGTTTTCCTTTAATACAATCCACACATAAATCTCAGTCAACAAAATTCAATTGAGGTAAAATTTTACTTTTCATTAACCTCATCATCCTTTCTTTGGATATGTGACCTAACCTTTGATGCCACAAGAAAGCAGAACATTCATTATGCATATTCAAATTACTACTAATGGCACTCTCAACATGAAACAAAGATTCAACAAATTTAACATTAAAATTGAAACTATATAAACTATCAATTAATGTACCAAATCCAAAATAGTACGAGTGTTTATTCAAAGAAAAAGTATTATTTCTAATCTTAAAATTAAAACCAAATTTGTCTAACTTTGCAACAGAAACTAAATTTCTAGCACATTCAGGAACATAAAGATATTTTTCTAAATCTATGCAGCAACCAGTATGCAAGATCAATCTGTAAGTCTCTATTCCTTCTATCTGTGCCTTCATTCTGTTTTCCATGTACAAGAACTTTTCAGTTTCGTTTATGGGCTGGATCGAAAGAAATCCCTTTCCTTTCGGACCAAACCTTTCTCTTCAGACAATCTTTCTTAAAGTGACCAGTCTTCTTGCAGAAGAAGCACATCTGGCCCTTCTGGATTCGGCCTTCACGAACCTTTAATAAGGCTTTATCCTTCTTGTCCTTGTTGTCCTTCTTACCTGGCTTAGCCTTGCTACTACTAGCCTCTTCATGAAATGTGAGATGGACAGAGTGTTCTTTCACCTTCTTCAGCCTCCCTTCCTCCTGAACTAGCATGACCTTAATTTTCTGTATGTTCCATTTATCCTTAATGGTGTTGTAATTCACCTGGAACTGATCAAACTCAGGAAGGAGTGAGTTCAAAATGAATTGTAATAGAAATAATTCCTTTACCTCCATGCCCATTGATTTCAACTTTGCTGCTTGATTGATCATGTCAGTCACATAGTCATGAATGAGCTGTGACTAATCAAACTTCTTAGTAGTCAGCTCAGTTAATAGGGTGCCTGTAATGAACTTGTCAGTAATGTTTGATTGTGCATACTCTTTTACCTTTGCCATAAATTTCCTAGCATTTTCAGTCTTTAGCATTGATGGCTACACATTTTCAGCAAGCACAAGCTCAGCCTATTCAACCTTCCCAAGCCTCACGAGGAGTTCTTTCCTCTTTAGTACTGGTCTCTGTGATGGCTGCAGGTTCTTGTTCCATAATGATTCCTAGGTCTAAGTCCACAACACCTAGTTGGAATCGAATTTGTTCAGCCCAATCATCATAATTAAGCTCATTGAACTTGACTACGCTATTGCTCATGCCATACACATTCATAGAGATTGAAATATTTAACACATGCTTAAATATTTATGCTTTGAATAAACTTAATGGATTCAGACAGTTAACTGTCATCAATTACGCATCTAAGTTTACCTTTGGATAATACCTAAATATACAATTTATCTATAATGATGCTAATAAACAACTTTAATTGACAACCAGTCACTCAAACCAATATGCAAGTCATCTTTGAATATACAAACATATTATGAAGTGCTTACATGTCTCCTTAATGTCATTAATCATATGCAATGATCCACCTTTGGGTGATCTCCTAGCATTATAATTAATGAGCTAAATTGTTCACTCTTTATGTTTCTATATAGCATCAAATAACTTTGAACAATTTATAACACAATTAAATGTTTAAAAAACTTTTAAAGCTAGGTCACTTTGGTGACTAACAAGCTACTCTTAAAATTAAACACTAAATTGTGAAATTCTTATTATGATAATGTAATTTAGAATTAATTAACTTGAGAATTTAATCATTTTGGTGAGTAAAATTCACTTTGATGTAATTCTAAAATTATCTATATATTTTATGAATTATATTCCTTATTCTGCCATAAAATTCCTATGCACGGCCGTGCTTTTACTTAATGCATGGCCGTGCTTCAATGAAGCAAGACCATGCTCATTTCTAATGCATGCCCCTGCTTCCTGAAGCATGGTCGTGTTTATAATTGATGCATGGCCGTGCTTACAATATGCAAGGCCGTGCTTCGCTGAAGCATGGCCGTACTTGTTCCTGATGCGTAGTCCTACTCCCTGATGCATGGTCCTGCTCACTGATATATGGCCCTGCTCCCTGATACATGGCCCTGCTCATGTTAAGATTCAAAATCCAATGTTTCTATCTTCCCAAACTTTAGGATTTTCAATTATTGAATCCAAAGCAATTATTCAACATAAAAATAATGCCAATCCATCATATAAAATACCTAGGGTTCATGTAATTTGAGAAAAATTTTAATGGAGAATCAATCTCTTATGGAGAATCAACGAAATTCACAACCTAACTCTGATACTAACTGTTAAAAATTTTCTTTAATTCATTATGTAGTTTCTACTATGCAATGACTATTATGAAATTATTTTTTCCTTTTGAGATCTTAAATTACGTTGCTCTCACAACACAATATATGATTCTCATACAATTAAAGGTTTAGAGAGCACTGACCTGAATCCATTGTTCCTTGATGTTACCTCTCTCTCTTTGATGTTGTTGATCCCTTTGTATTTTCCCCAACTCTTCCTTCCTTTTTTAGCTCCTCTCGAATGGTTGAGAAAAAAAATTCTTTTATACGTTTACCGTGAACTCACTAAGAAATCGTGAAAGTGAAAAAATAAAGAATGCCGTAACCTTTATTTGGTAACTGCCCTTTTATTTATATGAAGGGAAAGGGGAGGGTTTCCTTATAATTGTATTTACAATTATACCTTCAATGACTCTATATTTTATATTTAATCACCATCACATTAAATCATTAATTAGAATCATGCTATAAGTTTCATAGGCCACTATAATAAGATTATTAAAATAATCTAACAGATCACTCCTTTAGAAACATCTAGTACTGAGACATTTAACAGTTGTAATCATGTAGAACCTCAAAGGTGTACATATTAAGTTTCGAAGATAATTCAAAGAACTTGCAAAATGATTTGATGTCAATAATCTTTAATAATTGATCAACCAAACCATTCACTTTAATTAAAGGTAAAAGTTACCTGTAATTACGAGCTTTTTAGCCCGTTAATTATACCAACATTAGAAAGCATCTCTTATAATCGTTTCAATTTTTTTAAAAGACACAAAAAGGGCACAAATGGACTTCTTAAGGTGATAATAATCTCTAATACTCCTTTTCTGGCTCAATCATCTCCACTGCTCTGAATCATTTTCGTATAGAGAGCAACTTGGTTATGCGGAAGCAAGGAGGATAAGCAAATATTTTGGTATGGCTTCCAATAATCGATGAAGCATTAATCTGCAACTAATAGGTCTTCTATTATCTATTCATAGTGCATCGTTTGTTTCAATTCAATTCCCTTCATCGCATAAAGGGGCATAAGGAAAGTATCCTTGCACAACATACAATACAATTTACCTTAACCGGGGAGGATGGAACCAGTGTTATTGTTCTGGAATTGATGCCTACAGTGGCAATGCCAATTACACAAGTACAGTTGCCTGCCAAATCTTTACCAATGCCACCCCCAGAAAATAACTAGGTGGGAAAAGATAAAAGCACAGAGAATGGCAAAATACAGACCTCAAAAAATAATAATAATAACCATGTCATCCACACATCTAGCCATTTACCCAACACACTAACTTCAGTGAAGAGTGCATTTTGTTACTTCATTCATCTTGACCCAAAAAAAGGTCCATTCATTCATACAATTTATGCACAATTTCCCAGATATTCTGAGCGCCACTACCTACATGCATAACTTCTATATAACTCGGATCTCATGGAATAGAATCAAGGATAACGATTTAATGACAAAAAATTAATTCCCTTTCTTCTTCAGTACGTGTCTAAAGTATGCAATATATTACTGTAAGAATGAAAGTACATCTACCGAAGACTAAAACTATTTACAGAAAACCAATGAGGGTGCAAGGATAGGACATTGAACACAAGTAAAAAAATGGCATTAGGCAGGCAGCACCTTTCACTAACTAGAATCATTAGTTTTCCTTTGACATTTATATATATAAATTCGTGTGAGAAGAGAATCACTTCCTGATCCTTGAACAAATTGCACACGAGTGAACTTTGCTCAAATTCTCAACCTTGGACTCAGCCTGCCAAATAGCCGAGTCAAGCATCACCAATTTAAGAAAGATTAAACCAGTACCTCGACCAAAAACTACTGCCAAGAAGCACCCTGTCCACTTGACATGGCTCGAGCTTCAGCCAAAGAGACCGCCATAGCTAGCATCATCTGCTCCTCAAAACTCTCGGGAACAATGGGGTTTGTGGCATTTTGAAGGCTTCCATCAATGTCATCAGACCGTGGCAAAGAAGATAGTTCACCACGATCCTCTGCTGCAAGAGTGTTTGCATAGCTAGCTGCTGTTTCAGTCACCTGTGCCCCATGGTCTGTATCCCATTCACCATGACCCCTAGTCATCACAACAGCATCGTCTGGTGGCACCTCATTGATATTGTCTGTAGGTGGATAATGAACCATATCTCTACCAAGTCTGTTATAAAACCTTCTTGAACCCTGTAGCATGTGGAATGATGACATATTTTCATTGGTGGAGCTCATAGGTGATTCTCCAGCCATTTGCTGGCGCTCAGCAAGAGCTGCAATTGCACAAGCAAGACCCCCAGATGGGGATGAGGATGATCCGGTCGGTGGACCCAGGACGGATGAAGCATATCGACCATCGGCTACATAATGTCCAGAAGTAGCATCGGCATAAGATAAATTTCTCTGCCTGCCATTCTCCTGTGGTTTTTAATACACATATTGAGTCAATCACAATCATCAAATATACAGGACAACACAAGCCATTGAGCATTGCTAACAAAAACTTGTGTAATTTTGTTAACTGAACCTTTTGTAGGTGGCACTGTGGTAGTATATACCCCCCCATTTTAATTTCATAATATGCACATACTTATAGTTTTATATTATGCTTTGAATGGTGGAAATACTACCATGTATAGAATCTACAATGAACCCATGTCTATATATACATATATTTTAAAAAGTTATTTAATTCCATAAGTATGAATAAAATATGCGCAATCAACAAAGAAATTTAAATGTAAAGGGTTTTTCACTGCTAATATTCAGGAGCTACCGTTTAAATTTATACATAAAAAATGTGGAAAAGCTCAATTCTGAATATTTGTACATTTCTTTCATTCTAAAATAACTTTTCAAAAGCAGAAGATAATGAGGTGACACAACACCAATCAAAATATAGCACTACTTTGTAAGAATTTACTTTTTATTTGTTATCATTATCTCACATATCATGAGCAAAATAAGCTGAAATTGAACAATTTCAAAATTGACAATCAAACAATAGATTTATGGTATGTGATTAAATGATTTCAAAACAGTAGGGAACAACCATATTGCAGGGAAGTGTTCATCTTCAATTTTAATAATAAATTCAACCATTGACAGCTCGCAGGTAAGCATATTCAAGCAAAGGTCTTCACCTGAATGGAAAGCCAGATTGCTTCCATGACCATAATGTCCTCAAGATCAACGTCAAATTCATCATCTCTGCAGTTTTCGGCATTTGGGGGTAAAATATAAGTCCAAAAAGTATAGTATCCAAAATATAATATGTAAAAGAGAATCAATGCACATATTTCCATAAAGAAACACACGTATTTAACCACAAATAAAGAGACAGAGCTCCACCTATGCTGCACAAATATAGGTATAGGTATCACATACAACTTTATTACAACACAAAACTACAGCCATAACATCTCATAAAACCCACCCACACACACACACACAATCCATGTATGGTTATTCAGTCAAGATTGGTCATTCTCATTTCTCATAAAATATACTCTAATCTATAACCATCATAAATTAAAAATAGTTAGGGCAATCAATGATTGAAGGAAAAACAGCAAAAAAGTTTTTGTCTCCAGCTAAGAATTTTAAAAATGTATTAGTGTTGTGGAGTAACAATAAGAGCATCATGTTGGATGTCATCAACCTTGCATAAGTCACTGTAGTAGACACAATAGAAGACTATCATTCATACAAGTCTTATTATATCTCACCTACACCGGCACAAATGTTTAATAATTAAAAAAACAGGATGCAACCAGGCAGACAACAAGTACCCAATACCAATATGGCAACTGTTCTAAAGCATAGGTGGTTCGTTCACTGCTGGATCATACATGTCAAGAGGTGTTCAAGACAGCCTACAAAAGATACTGATAAGTCTAATAATACCATACAAAAGTAAATTATACATCTTCACTCATCACTTCTACTTAAAATCTACCATAATCAAAGAAGCATGGATATGGGGGGGAAAGGAAAAAAAGTACCCATGCACTAAAACAGCTCTCTCTCTCTCTCTCTCTCTCTGTGCGTCTCTATATTTGTGTGTGTGTGGGGGGGGGGGGGGGGTTGGGGGGTGGGTTTTAAATTTTGTATCTTTTGACTTATGGCCAGATTCGAGCCAGTACACAGCTGACTTGCATGAATACAATGCTGAGTCTTATTTCAAAGAAATTTAGCCCCAAAGCGCACTGTATCCTGTCCTTCTTCTCTTTTTCTCCTGCTGGAACTATGAAATTCCCATCTGAGCCCAAGAAAATTTGAAATTGCACCCAAGTCCCAGATTCCTTGATTTAACCAGCAATTTCTGTTATTACCAAAAAAAAAAAAAAAAAAAAAAAACAGCAATTTCTGTTACATTTGCCAGCAATTTATGCTACTGCCACCATTTCTACTAAGCATCCAGTAATTTGTTTACCTTACGGGATAAGGATTGTGTTTCTACTGAAATGCATAGAGATGCCTCTTGATGAGAAAAGTAGGGATTATATCACAACCATTTGACAACAAGTTGAAGGAAGTAAAAATTGCCACAGCATATAATGGGGGGGCTTTAGCCAGATGAAGTCAGAAACAGGAAGGGAGCATATGATTGACCATTTGAGGGTTTATCCAGGACAAATGACTCCAATTTGAGATACAAATGCAAATGACGTTCTCAATGAACAAAACATGGTGAGGGAGAGAAAAGGGTAAAACAGTGAGCAAAAGGTGAGGGTTGATAGAGTTGTAACTATATCGATAATTGGTACCCCAATGATCTAATGCACCAAAACCCACACCCATAGTATGTGTGAAAAAAAAAAAAAAAATCACTGCAAAACATAACAAACATTTAAATATATTAATTTTCTGTACTATACATCATGTACATTTTCTAATATATTACACTTGTATGATTGTATCCTTTGTCCTATTTTTTTTTTTTTTTAAATTACAGAATCTCCTTTTCAGTTCAGACTATAAGATATGCATAGTGTATAATAGTATAGGAGTCAGCTTAAAAATGGTTTGTAAAGAGTGATAGCATAACTGCGATAGAGTACAAATCCATAAAATATTCTGCCACTTAAATAGCCATCTCCATTTTACTTTTTCAATGCAAATTATGCATATATGAGCACCAATAAATCTAAGAAATTGACAAGTATAAATTCAAAAAATCTATTTAATAACAAAAAAGGAAGAGGTTTATCTATTTTTTTCCTTTATTTGGTTTTCTCCTTCGTACTGGGATATGGAGGTCAGTTGGAGGCAAGGTTGTCAAAATCAAGATCTTACCAAAAGAGCGGAATAAAAACATGAAATTGTGTAATAATAGCATGGACTGTACAATCCTACTTAAAATTTTTAAAAAACTCAAAATAACCTTTAAAACATAGTTAAAATTAATTTAAACAAAATTAAAAAGGTCATATGTAATATAGAATACATGATACTTCACATATCACCAAATTATATTATCAAAATGATATATAATATATTATTCATAAATTTTTAAAACGTAAAGTAAGACAGCCATAGCGAGAAACAATGGCATGTTTGTGGCAGGCTGAAGAACAGAGCAAAACATGAAACACAAACACTGACACAAGATCAGAACTTGAACAAAGGCAAATTTGAAGGCATCACCAAGGGCAAGTTCAATCTCAAACAAGATCACAACAAAGAGAGATGGGATCACAGAATGCTTGAACATAGAACAGAACATAATGTGAACAAAAACTGAGCATAGAAAGGGAGAGGAGACATAATTGGTTTGGTGCTGCTTGTCAGTTGACAGTCTGGAGAGAATAGACCCACAACATTTGTTCTATTTTCTTCAAGGTTGCACAACCTTACTGACAAGTTCACGAATATCAAACTCGAAAATACTCGGTGATAGGGCCCAAGGATTTAATGGGCCTGATGAAGCTCAAATCCAACAAGGCAGCAGCAAATCACATTGGGGAAAAGTCTATGCGAGGCGCAAAGCTCGCAAAGATTAGGATTACAATTTGTTAGAGAAAATAAAGAGAGTTGTTACTTTGTTTAGCTATTTTTATGCATTTTGTTATTCGAATTTACTTTTAAATAAGCTTAGGAAACAGGAGGAGAGATCCTTAGGTTTTTCTTTGTTAAGTGTATTAGGAGCTTGGCTCTGGAGTAGAGAGGATTACTCATCCTCTTCTTTTTTTTTTTTATCTTCAATAAAATATAACTTCTCTTTTCTACATTATTACCTATCTTTACTTTTCTCTGAGTTTGGTTCGTAACAATTTGGTCCGACCTGCCGGATCATTTTTCGGGGACGGTGAATGCCACCGAAAAAGAAAGGGGGTAAATCAAGCCAAGGAGAACCAGCGAATTCAGTGACCATGGAGGCTAGGGTCGATGTAGTGGAGGGAGAACTGGAGCGCATGAGAGCTATTATGGAGGAGATGAGGTTACAATTTGCTCAAAATCAAGCAGCTTTGGAAACCTTGCGAAAGAAGGCAGCAAAAAATCATGCTAGAATGTTGGAAATCATGACCCGAAATGTGGAGAAGATTCCGCCAAATGAGGCTGAAAACTCATACGACCAAGGAAGAAAAGCGAATCAAAAGAAAAAGGGGGAACATTCGGGTAATGGTTCTGGTTTGAAATCGTTAGAGGGAGAAGCTCTGGATGAATTTAGGCAATCTGTTAAAAAAATTGAATTACCTATGTTCAACGGAGATGACCCCGCCGGGTGGATAACGAGAGCTGAAATTTACTTTCAAGAGACCAGTCATCAGGTGAAGGTTAATCTTGCTCAACTCTGCATGGAGGGAGGAACCATACATTTTTTCAACGCACTGTTGAATGATTATGAGGAACTTTCATGGGAGGATCTAAAAAAGGAGTTAGTGGAAAGGTACAGAAGTTTGGGAGCAGGCAGCGTCTATGAACAATTAACAACCTTACAGCAGGATGGAAGGATGGAGGAATATATTAAGAAGTTTGAAGGGTTAATAGCCCAGGTACCTCGATTGCATGACGAGCAATATTTTGCCTATTTCAACCATGGGTTGCACGAGGAGGTGAGAGCACGTGTACGAAGTGTCCATGTTGCGAACCCTTTGACAAGGGGCAAGTTGATGAATGTGGCAAGAGCCATAGACATGGAGTTATCGAGGCGTAGCAGAGGATGGATAGGAAAAGGAGATTATAGAGGAGGACACTATCAAGTTAACAAAGCTGTACCTATGGCAGTAGGGAAATCAGGCCCACGAACTGGTGGTTATGGGACAAATGGGCCTGGCCCAACAGCAAGAGAGAATGCAGGAGAAATCAATAGAGGCAGTTTTAAAGATAAAGGAGGGAGGCATTTGGCTTACCAGGATTTACTGGATCGGAGAAAGAAAGGCTTATGTTACAAATGTGGTGGGCCTTTTGGCCCAATGCATCAATGCCCAATAAAACAAATGAGAGTAATTCTAGTGGAGGATGAGATACAACTTGAATGTGAGGAGAATGAAGCTGACATTGAAAATAGTGAAGAAAACGAGGAGGAAATTGAAGGGCACTGCAGCGTCTGGATCTTTGAAGCTTGGAGTCGGACAAACACAAATCAGTCTCGACACTTAGGCTTAGAGGCCATGTCTTGGGGGTTTCTATCTTCATTTTGGTTGATAGTGGGGCCTCTCACAATTTCTTATCACGGAAATTGGTGGAAGGAATGGGATGGAGTTAGGAGGAATCACGGAGCATGCGAATTATAATGGGTGATGGTCGGACGTCAAAAACTGTTGGGATACGACGTGACTTGGAGGTGGAGTTCGGTAGTTGGAGTTGTGTAGTGGATGCTTATTTGTTTGAATTGGGGGATATAGATATGATACTAGGAATGTCCTGGTTAGCATCATTGGGAGAAATGGTAGTTGATTGGGGGAAGCAAGTTATGAAGATCATGACCCCACAAGGTCATCACACCTGAATGGGGTACTACGTGAAGAAGCATTATGTGCCACTTTGAATGGAGTTTTCAATGAAGAACAGAATCTATGCAAAGAAAAATTAAAATAGGAACAGCGAACAGAAATTGACAGAATACTAAAGAGGTTCGATGATGTGTTTCAAGAGCCAAAGGGACTTCCTCCGGTTCGAGTGCAAGAGCACAAAATTACTCTCAAAACAGGGCAGGGTCCTATCAATGTCAGGCCATACAGGTATCCACATTTTCAAAAAAATGA